CCATTGCAGGGTTACCCCCAGCATTAAAATTCAGTGCTACCCATTTATACACCTGGGTGGAGAGAAGCATTGCAGGAGTATTGGTAAAGTGTCTTACCCAAGAGCACAATGTAATGAAACCAGCCAAGGCTAGACAGTTCAATCTGACCATTAGGCCGCCATGGCTAGTCTACTTACAGTGGAAGCTGTCTTAAGCTTTTATTATCAATTCATGGACACTCTTGTAAGCGGACAATCCTATTAACGACAACCTTCACAAAACTCTGTTTGAACTCCCAAACAAGCTGTTTATTTACTCATCCCCGTAAGTGGGCATTCCCATAAGCTGCCCTGGGGCCCGTTTCTCGAAGGTCCCGAAATGTTTTCACACCCGGAAACCTGCAGCAAAATCTCAAACCTTATGATTACAGTACTGTTTTATTCACATGTTAATATGGACAGAGGTTCTCTTCATACAAGAGGTTTCGGGCGTATACACCTCTCTGTTTTTGGATACAGATGAACTAAAACTGGTTTTTTGGGCCCGAAAAGTTTCCAGGGGTTTCAAGAAATGGACCCCTGGACACTTTGAGGGAGTATGATTTAGTCTTTTCCTTTACTTTACGCTCGTGTCAGCAGACACCCGATGGGCCTGACAGTGGAAAATACTCAAACACAATTTTGTAAATTGTATTACTGCATTTTGTTGCAGTAATTTTTGCTGGAATTATGATTTGCTCTTAATTATTACTAATGGCTAGTTCTAATACTGCAGTATACAGTACTGTATTCAGTTATGGCCATAATCGCAGCATTGTACAAGGTAGTAGAACAAAAAGATTATTTAATATGGCGGTATTTCTTGTATTTACAATGTTTGTAGTTAGCTGGGCATCCCTTATTCATCCCTCACACCCCTAGTGGCCATTGGGTCTTGAGAGTGTCTACTTATCAGAGCTTCCACTAGCTGCACCACTTTTCTCAAACCAAATGAAACAAATGATATAAACATAATTATATCACTACAGTCCACTACATTTATTTGTGCATGATTTAAATTTTTTATGATTTAATTCGTTGGAAAGACAAACCTCTCGAAAGGTGGCAATTGTTTTGATGTTTGTTGTATGGTACCTTTTCTGACAATGAATGTTTTATAAATCTATCAACCTGCACTTGAACATTATTGTGTTACATCACACGTATTCATCATTCTTCTCAAAAAAAAACACATATTCTTGAAAGCAACAACGGTCCTTGCAAGCAATATTTTGTGACAACTGTTTTTCTGAAGAAGGGAAGATAAAATGCTATCCATAAAAGAGTTTCTGCTTTCAAACACAATAGCACTAATTGTATGTAGTAATGGAATAATACTTGTAATTATAGTTAAATAAAAGGAATGCTTGAAATTGGTTAGTACAAAAGCTCACTTTATGTGTACCTCAATGCTATTTTTGATATAACTTCCCTATCTTGCAAATAACAACAGAGAAAGATTCAGAGTGGAAAGTACAATTTTTACAGATCTATATGTAACATCTATTGAATAAATTAAAAAGATATAACAAACTCCTTTATTACTATAAAACCCTTGCACTCTTGTTATTTAACTTACAGCAGCACTTTCTACACACTACCCCTTTTCTAAACTTTACATACGCGCTGTTAGAACGCGTTTTTGCACTTGTTGCGGAACATTTTTCCACCCTACAACCAGCTACAAGAAGCCAAGAGAGAGACAGTTGCTCGCCAGTAAAAGCGAAGACGGTAACCTGTGAAAAGTTTGAGCTTTTCCGCCCTACATTTTCCTGCCATTCTGAAAAAGAAGACAAAGCAAAAAACCGCAACATTTACCTAAAATTCTAGAACAAGCGACGAAGCAAAGTCAATGATGAATTAGCTCTATTGGACGCCATCTTTGATTATAAGATTTTTGCAGCGCGCGCTCAGCAAGAGTCTGAGTGCCAGGGTAAAAATTCAGCCAATCAGACAAAAGTCTCCCCTGCTATTGTGACACGGAGTGTTTCCAGGACGGGGGTGCTCATTTTACCTTTTAGGGTCGTTAAAAGACGGGAAATTGGTACCTCGTAGGGTCGCTCAACGGCTCAAAACACTGAAAAGGTCCACAGCGGGACCTTTCGCGGTATCTTTTAGTGTATTTGGCCGAAAAAAATATGACCGGAAATATTTAACAATCACCTTTGTTTGGAAAAATAGAAAAACGATCCCTGGTTAAAAATTTGTTTAAAACGAGCTTTCGACTACCAGTCTGTAGTCTTTAACGAGTGATTGATAGAAAGCGCGAACGTTAAAATATATACTAAGAACAGTGTGAAAAACAAAATTATAATAAAAACAATAGAAATGCTTGTGTGAGAGTAAAAAAATGCTAATGTGAAGTTCAAAATAAAATTGAATATTGTCCTGGTAATTGTTTCGCATTATTGTCAGCATGGTTCTTTATTGCTGTGTGCCAGGATTCCAAAGTTTTTCTAACACGAAAATTTCCCTTGTCAATCACGCGTGCATTGTCAAAGTCGATGAAATGATCGTTCAACCAGGCGTGTGAAG